ATCTTCAGAGTGCTTATGTGGACATTTGAACAAAGATATTCGCCATCAAAGATGATATTCGGTTATTTCGGTCCCTCACATGGTACGACGTCAGAACGCCATTATGAATTTACGACCTTCGTTTGCTATTCCGCGAACGTTATCGCCGCATAGCAATTTTCTATGTCAACATAACAGGATATCATCTTTGATAGCGAATATCTTTGTTTAAATGTTCATATAACTACTTTGATGATGGATCATGTGATCCGAAAGCTTAGATCAAGGAAGAGCTTAATAAAAAAATATCCAAATGTTGGACAGATTTTGTCTTTATTTTCGCCCGTAATTAAAGCCACTATACGAAGCTTAGAACGGCTCATGATCAAACATAATAGACATTCATTGTCTGTTATATTTAACAATATATGTTTAAAGATGGTATATATAGACATTAATTGATCGAGAGGGATATATATATATATATATATATATATATATATATATATATATATATATATATTTTTTAGTTTTCCCCGCCCCATCTATCTCCTCCACCCCTTTTTCTTTTCTTTTCCTCTCCCTCCCTCTGATCTTTAAGATTAGATCGTCTATTGTGTGTGTATGTCACCACAAACTGTATCCTTTCCGGTTACATCTTTAATGTATTAGACATCCGACAACATTCATATTTCTCTCACTTAAACCGTCTTCAACTCACCTCTCTAAAACTTCTCTCTGTTAAGTTTTAATCTCACACTTTCTCTCGTCTGTTACCCCTCTCTTTAGCTTTAACATTCGTCCCACACTCTCATACTTACACTCTCTGTAAATTCTATTTTTATTTCCGGAGTTGTTTTTTCTGTTTTCTTTTTGAATTTGTAGGTCTGATGAATTTTTTTTTTTTTTATAATCATTTTTTTTTAATTCATGCCCCAGTTCACAATCGATTGGAGGTCCTTTTCGAGACGCACGGACAGGTGAGTTTTGTCAGCGAGACTAGATTTGTTTTTGAGGCAGGAATAAATTGTGGTGTCATCCGCGTAGATGCCAACTTGGGAAGTTATGGCGTCAGGAAGGTCATTTATGTAGATAAGGAATAGAGTGGGACCTAGGATGGAGCCTTGAGGAACACCTGCGTTCGTTGGATAGGAACTGAAGGAGAATCCGTTGAGAACGACCTTCAATTCACGGTTTGACAGGAATGATCGTATTAGGTTATATAATCGACCCGTAATGCCATAACCCTGGATCTTGCGGAGAAGGCCGGCGTGCCAAACCCTATCAAATGCTTTGGAGATGTCTAGTGCCACGGCTTGGGCTTCCCCGTTATTTTGAAGAGCTCGGTATACTGTTTCAGTGATGGCCGTAAGCACATCGGCTGTAGATCGGGCAAAGCGGAAACCATATTCTTGTTTGAGAGCAGATTATGGGATGTGAGGTGGTTAACCACCCCGGTATTGATTAGGGCTTCGAAGACTTTGCCGAAGAGGGGAAGGAGACTGATAGGACGGTAGTTGGAAGGGTCAGAGGGGTCGCCGGAGTTCTTGAAGACAGGAACGATCGAAGAGGACTTCCAGCAGTCAGGAAAACAAGATTCCTTGAGGCAGTAGTTGTATAGTTTAGAAAGGGCGGGCGCCAGTTCAGGTCTTCGAACTGGTTGAATAAAGGAGGTATAGAGGGTTTGCAATTGTTCAATACGCTCTTGCAGAGACGCCAATAATCTTTGGAGCCAAATTTGCGAGATGCAATACGTTTCTTCATCCGAGCCGCAAATAGTGACTTAGCATCGTTGAGGACACGCTTACATTCGTTACGGGCGGAGGCAAAGAGACGTCTATTGCAGTCAGACATGTCGCTACGGAATAGGTGGAAGTAGTGGTTCATATGGGCGATGGCGGCTGAGCAAGCAGCCGAGAACCAGGGGGAGGAGCGCAACTTGACCCTATATTTCCTTGATGGGATGAAAGCGTCGATTCCAGCTTTAACTCAGGAAGAGACCTCAGAAGCACATTCTTGGACGGGGAGCTTAAAGACTCCATCCCAGGGGACATCGCGGAGGAAATCACGGAACTCGTCCCAGTCAGCTCGTTGATAGTAGGACGAAGTTCTAGTGGTAGGAGGTTCTTTATAGGGGGTGGAGTTGAAGGAGATGTTAACTGATACTACTGCATGATCAGAGTAACCAAGAGGGCAGAGTTGCGAGGCGCTGCAGGATTCGGGGATGGAGGTAAAGCACAAATCGAGAAGAGAGGCTTTACCTTCCCGGTTGAAGGCAAAACGAGTGGGGAAGTTAACTATCTGTGTGAGGGAATGTGAGATTGAAAAATTGAGCGTTTGAATGCCTGCGTGGTCAGTAGTAGGATTCTTAAGCCACAAGGTGTGATGGGCGTTAAAGTCACCAAACACAAAAATGTGAGCAAACGGGTGGAGGGAGAGAGCCTTGTCTATGCTGTCAGAAATGCTATCGAGTATCTCACAGTCCTGAGAGGATGGAGAGCGGTAAAGGAAAAAGAGATAGCTTACCGCATTGAGGAGAGAGAGTCGGAGACACATGTATGACTGGTCTGGCGATTCGAGAGACAACTCTCTGGCCAGAGGGAGATGGTCCTTGACGTAGACACCAAGGCCGTGCATGTGAGTTAGAGAGTCTTTTCTGAGGAGAGGAAGGTAACCTGGGATAGAGAGATCAGAGGAGGGGATAGACGAGACAAAGTTTGTCTCACAGAGAGCCAGTATATCCGGGCTGTTTGCAGTGAGGAAAGATTCCAGACTGCAGAAGTTTGTCCTAATGCCCCGGATGTTTGAGAACGAAATGTTGAGGGGTTTAGGTGGTTTTTGAGAGGCTGGTTTAGGGTTAATCTTTCGGTTTTTGTAACTCATATTGAATTTTGTTTGTAAGATGGGAAGGCACGAAGTAAAAGAAACAGACAGTTTCAAACGTGACGCAGGCAGAGAGGAGTTGGCAAAATCTGCATCATTATGTGGCCTCAGGGCTGCCCACCGGAGGTGACTGCAGGGACACCTTTCCATGCGCGACATGGCACTACAAACACCCCGGTATTATACAACTGTTGATTAGAGCAGCCGCTCAAGACGCTACGCAAGAGTTAGGGCTCCTAACTACCAGTCAGAAACAGCAACCAGAGAACTGTCAACCGTGTGCCCTCAGAATGAAGAGATGATGCCACAGACTGCACACATCACGGGAGAAACAGAGCTGCACTAATACAGAGGGCAGAGAGAGAAAGAGTACCGGGAATCATATTTACGATTCCAATGGAATAAATTATGACCATGGAATATTAGTGTTTAAGCCTTTTTATTATATATATATATATATATATATATATATATATATATATATATATATATATATATATTACAATAAAGTTCACTCTGTATAGGGCCCGGTACAACACGAGGTAGAGGGTTACGTTAGGAGGCAGTTTGTACGAATCGGAGAGAAAGGTAATGGTTAACTAACTCTAGACTTGAACGGGTTAAGATTCCTCTTGGGAATCTGTTCCATAGAGCTGTGGTTCACAAAAAGATGCTGTTCGAGTGGAACTTACTTCTCACAAATGGAATACCGAAGGAATGTACTTTGTTCGGTACAATGTAAGTCGCATGGCAGGTCCTAGCCGTGAAGGTAAGACCTGGCGGAACCAAGGAAAATAGGTCGTCCGAGCACTTTCCACTGAAGCAGCTATAAAACAGTGACAGACTCACCATATCCCGCCTGTGTGTGTGTGAGAGAGAGAAAGAGAGAAAGAGAGAGAGAGAGGTTGAAGGATGGGAAATAATTTATCACCCAAAAGGAGTCAGAGGCGCTTTTGAACTCTCTCAAGACTTGAAAATGAGGACTGGGAAGCTCCTGTTCAAAGTAAACAGTACTACATTTTCGGCCTGATCTGGCTCTTATAAAGTTAGAGGATAGTATGAGGAGTCAGGTACTTACTGGAGCGGTACAGTGAGACAATTATTTTACCTGCATCTTTAGCGATGGATCGTATGTACGAGAGCTGTGGTAAAACCTGATCCTTTAATGGAAATATTATCGTCATCGTGTCTAAAGAATGTTTCTGTGAAACCCTGCAATGTAGGCTTATACTGACCAAATAGAAGAAAGTTATCTTTGCCAGATGGTAAATTGATGTTGTGCAATTTTTTTAGACCAAAACAAAACTGCGTCCTTGATGCCAACGAATACGGTATATTCGCATTTTGACAGAAATTGTGTTTGTCATTTTACGAAAGAAAGAACACTTCCGACCAAGCTTGTGTTCAATGCATGACATAAGGAAAATAAAAAACAAAACTTTTTGGCTCATTGATATTTTAGAATTCAATCTGAAAATGAGCCTATGAGCAATGGTGAGATGATGGTAAGACCACCTTCGTTTCAACACCGATTCTCCGTCAAAATGTGGCCCGGGAATTTTATAAAATACAAGCCGAATTACCCGTCTTGCTATCTGTCACACTTTCTTTTGTAAGAAAATGATGATTGATTTTAAATCATTGTTATAATTTGTGGAGAAAGATGATGCATTTCAATATTACTCAATGACCTTGCCGATGTGACCTCCATTTGTGTCTCCCGGGGACCCCCTTTGATCAAAATGAAATATAATTATCCAGGTACCATAAGTCATTCTCTTGCTTAAATTTAAATTTAGATCAAAAGGAAAAAAATCGGTGGGGCTTGGGTGCCATGCCCCGGGACCCCTCTGATTAAAATGAAATATACTTATCCAAGTAACCTGGGTAATGTAGTTTCTCTATGTATATGGTAATGGAGTTCTGTCTCCAAAACACTAGGAGGTATCCGATAGCAAACAAACAGACAGAGGCTAGAACTTTATATATATATATATATATATATATATATATATATATATATATATATATATACACGGAAGACTAGATTTCGCATTCTATGCTAGTCGATATATTTTATATAGTCATCATTCCTAGAAATTCTATTGCATAATATTAATTTTAGGGTGGGTAACTGATCAAGAAAGGCGTATGAAAGCAACTTTACCATCATCATCATCAGCAGCAGCATCATCATCATCAGCAGCATCATCATCATCATCAGCAGCATCATCATCATCATCATCATCAGCAGCAGCAGCATCATCAGCATCATCATCACCATCAGCAGCAGCAGCAGCATCATCATCATCCTCATCAGCATCATCATCATCATCATCAGCAGCAGCAGCAGCATCAATGTTTCGATGTGAAGCCCCTCTGCAAACCAATGTCATTCTCATCTTCAGCATGGCTTCACGTATCCAGGTAATGCCTATCTGCACGGGCTCAGTTGTGTTTCTTCAAAACCCACGGTGCCAACCTACAGTTTTTACTGCAACTACGCTGACAAACCTTACACTTCGAGCAAGTGCTCCACCAGAGCCACATACAATTTTGACTATCAGAGTTGTCCTTCTCCTATACTGGTTGCCAATCACGGCCAAAGTGCCCATTCAGTGTGTTAAGATATTTAACCCATAGCAGTGGTGGAGAAGAGAGACATTCCCACCTTTCCCAAGGGTATTCGTGTGAAAGTGAATGAAACAATCAAGTCTTGAAATACGAACCCGGATCACCGATTTTTGTTGTAAGCCTCGAACCATTACATCACATCTACTAAAGCTACAATCTGTAAATCCACTGTGTCATGTGTCCTTAGATCCAGTGACAGGACCCAAAGAGTGTGAGTTCAATACTTGGTTAAGGCGGTGGCGAACTTGGAGAAGGTAAATAACAGGAGAAAACTGATAACCGACATCCATTAGACATGGCACGTGGAACTAGAACAGTCCACCCCAGTGAGCGAAATAAAGGATTCAGTTCGACATTCCAACCACCTGAAGAAGGCCAGAGCGTACAACGGCCGAAACGTTGTGATAAACATGGCGACAAAGATGAGGACAATAGTCCGAATAATGTAAATAGTGTATAAATTATGAAGATGACAGTGTTTATAGCAGACACAGAAATGAGACTACAAGAATTCCTACAGAAAGTATTGAAGGAAAAGCGAAAAGAGAGCACTAAACATTAATTACAAGAAGACAGAATTTATGGTTGCTAGCAAAAGGAACTGCCTAACATGCAAGTTACAAATTTACACATAATGAGGAAAGAAGATTTGGAAAATTTGATATTCACAGGACAGATTGGAGGCAAGGGGGGGACAGAGGAAAACAGCGAGTCGCCTACCTAAGCGAGTTTGTGTAAATGAACGACAGATTAGAGTTTAAGTGAGATGATACAAAGACAAAATGTATTAAGAGTTACAAAGAACAGGGAAATGTGGAGAGCCATGATCGTCAACGTCCTGAAGGGGCATGGCAAATAGAAAACGATATACTTTCAAAAGTTGCCAAATCTGTCAATCCTGTATATAAGTATCTATAGAGTAGAGAATGAGATTGAATGTATTACCACAAAAAATGGGAGATTTGTTTAATAATAATTGTTTCTAAAACGAAAGGGATGCATATCTTGTTGACAGATTGGAAAATAAGAAATGAACTTGATTTCATTTCAAAAGGCAGCGCTATTAAATTTGGAATTGATTTCCTTACTCGTGGTCCAAGTCAGACTAGACTGTTTTAAAAAGTAAAACACACAAGTTGTAAGTAGCGGAATTTAGAATTTAGTACCATTGGGATTTCAAAATTAACTCAGTCTAGTAGAAAAATATAGAATTTCATATGGCAAAAATTGTAGTGTTTATTTCTTTTTCATAAGATAAAAGTGCTTCTCCACTCAACATTCATTAATCAAATATTTGCAATCATTAACCTTCAAGCATGAAATAAAGAAAACAACAAAAAACAAAACAGTGTGTCAAAAGGACGGTTTTTCCCTTGACACCGGTATTATTTTAACTACATTCACTCCCTCGTCAATATTTGTTGTTTTAAAAAGCGATGATTATAATGTTAATAAAATCTAAACATATGAAAATGGATTAATATATTTTCTTTATTTTTAAGAAATGACAACAAAGATGTTGAACACTATTTATTAGATTGTTTATTTACAAGAATAATTTTATATTTACAACATTCTAAAAATGAGAACCAGCTAATACAATGCAATGTTCATCATTCAACAATTTATAAAGAAATAAATATTTGTTTTATAATTCATATAAAATTATGAATACAAATCTTGTTGTCATAGTTATTTATAAAATGGTAAATAATAAATATTGCATTGTAGAGGGTTTACATAGTTTGATAAATTTTTTATTTAATTTTTTTTTTAAGAAAAAGATTGCTTTTAAATTTATAAAATGGTAAATAATATATATAGCATTGTACTTGGTTCACATATTTTTATAATCTTGTAAATAAATATTGCGGAGGGAGTGAAGTTAGTACAAGGTAATAGCGGTGTCAAGGGAAAAAACGTCCTTTTGACATACCGCTTTTTAGAGGCACGAAGGTTAAAGTTTGCCCAAACATTAATCCACGGAGTTGCTCGATTGGCTAACGCTTATAAGTCCCAGCGACATTAAATTTTTAATTAACTTTCTTCTCCTTCATAGTCCAATTTAGGTCAGATTAATTTCAAAGTAACACCCAAATTCTAGATGTAGCAAAATTAAAAATATAGCAACTTTGTTATACTGTTCAATCTTAATTTCCTTAATTGTATAAGCCAGTCAAATGTAATTGTTTTATGTTTTCATTAGTCAGATGGTCGTATGTGTCATATTTGGTCACATGACAAAAATCGAGTATTGCTGCTATTCTTGATCTGGAGCTGATCAGTCCTTACATTTCAGCCTTAACAGAATTCAAAATCATTGACGCGATGCTGTAGAAGAAAACATTTCTTCCACTCGATAGGCGTAACGGTTCACGCTTGTCACTTCACTATCCCATAGCAAATCTTTAGATGAGTTCCACTTTTTAGATCCATCAGTTCAGATATTTAATACTAGGACTCCCTATGCTGTATCCCAAGAGATGAATCAGCCACATTTCCTCTTGCGTCCATTCTGCTTCCCTGAACTCTACAATCTTAACCTCTTCAAGTCAAGGTTCAATTTTGTTTTTATCCTGCGTATCCTCAGAATCTTCATTTCCTTCTATCTCTTCCTACATTCATATCACATACCTTATTCTGTAATCCTCTTCAACCTTCTATTAGATAGATAGATAGGAACAAATTGAGATAGATGAAAAGACTGATATAGACAGGTAGATAGATAAATAAATACATACTATGATAGATACAGTATTTACATTAGTCGGACTATTGTCCTCATCTTTGTCGCCATATTTGTCACAACGTTTCGGCCGTTGTACGCTCCGGCCTTCTTCAGGTACACAAACAACACACTTCGGAATGGGATCTCACATATATCGATATATGAGGGCTTAGCAATGGGCTCGCCATTATCACCAGCAATGGCGAATATATACATGGAATACTTTGAAGAAATGGCATTAGAGTCTATATCGCTAAAGCCAACTATATGGTTACGGTACGTAGATGACACTTTCATACTCTGGCCACATCAGGAAGAAGTCCAGGTTCTTCTGGACCATGTGAACTCAATAAGACCTTCGATACAGTTCACAATGGAGAAAGAGAGTAACAACTCACTCCCATTCCTGGATGTACTAATATCTCGAACAGAGAATGGGTTCAAGACATCCGTATACCGTAAACCAACATTCACCGGACAGTACCTCAATTTCAACTCCCACCATCCATACAGCGTAAAGAAAGGGATCGTCCGATGCTTACAACATAGAGCAAAAGTCATAAGTGGCGATCCAGAGACGTTAGATAAGGAATTGGTCAGTATAAGTAGTACCCTACAACGCAACAACTACCCTGGGTACATGGCAGCAGCCCCAAAAAACTGGGATAGGCGGGTACAAGAGGAGGAGGAGGAGGAGGACAACAACACTCAGAAAACAGTCTGCCTGCCTTATGTGAAGGGGTTATCAGAGAAAATACAAAGGATCTGCGGTCCATATAACATCAGGACAACCTTCAAAAGCGTGACAACACTTCGCAGGTATCTCTCACGAGTGAGACCCCCATAGAGAGGAACATGACTAAAGACTGTGTGTACGCTATCCCATGCAGCTGCGGAAAGGAATATAAAGGAGAGACAGGCCGCCCCCTCAAGGTAAGGCTTCAAGAACACCAGAAAGCTGTAACGCGAGGGGAAGTAGAAAAATCAGGCGTGGCTGACCACATATGGAGAGAGAAAATCTCCTGAGCCGACCAAGCATAGAAATAAATACAATATGGGAACCAGTCATAAGGAGTGCCAGAGAAAAGCAATGATAACAAAGTTGCAATATGAACTCTGGTAAAGACATGCAATGATAACAGCAAAAAATTGCAATATGAGCACTGGTAAAAATGATGCTGAAAACATTAGGTTTATAATACTCAGAAGTTCAAGGACACATGGCACAGTGGATAAAGGCGTTGGTTAGATCCAGTGACAGACCCAAAGAAGGTGAGTTCAATTCGTGGTTAAGGCAGTGGAGAACTTTCAGAGGGAAAATTAGCAGGAGATAACTGATAACTGACATCCATCAAACATGGCACGTGGAATTAGAACAGTCTACCCCAGCGATCGAAATAAAGGGTTCAGTTCGAAATTCCAACCACCTGAAGAAGGCCGGAGCGTACAACGTTGCGACAAAGATGAGGACAATAGTCCGACTAATGTAAATACTGTACATAATACCTCATCTCAGAAATATAGACATACTATGATAGATATGAACAGACTGCAACAGACGTACATAGATACGAAGAACCAGACACACACACGCAAAAACACACACACACACACATATATATATATATATATATATATACCGTATATTCCCGTTTATAAGGTAACCTTTAGATAAGACGAGGTAAAAATATATCAAATTTTCTTGAATTTATCCTATACCTGTAGTATAAGACGACTGTTTATTGATTATATAAAGATGATGATGTCATTGGAAATGTTGTTAGTTATAGAAATTCGGCATAAACAAAATAACAAAACCGATTCTATATCATGTCTTTCCTACAAACTAAAATGGAAATCATTGTTTTGTTTACGTTTCATCACGTGATCTCTTGCAAATACTGATTCTTCTTCTTCTTAAAAATCTTCTTCTTCTTCTTCTATATCTAAACAGTTATAAACAGCCTGGTGTGCGTATGGCCATTTACTTATGCTTCACAGTAACGGTAATGCATGATAACAGAACATTCCACACTCCAAATTATTTCATTCAGTCTTTTATTCATTATTGAAAGTTTAGCTGTGAATGCAGTCAGAACTCGATATTTGCATTTTCTCAGCTGAGCTTGCATCGATACAAATTGATATGGAATTATTCTTCAAATAGACACTTTATTATCCTAGTAATATATAAGGTAGAAATGGTTTTATTACTTTTATTATCAGTTTATTTGATAATGTGAATCTTTTCATGTACGTTATTGGTTATCGCACCGAGGTCGAGGTTAGCCTATCGATAAATATCACTCAGAATTTCAGGTTTCTTTTTTTAGATTTGTTGTATAAGACGATCCCCAATTTTTAATGGTGATTTATGTTATTTAAAGGTCGTCTTATACGCGGAAATATACGGTATGCATATATATATATATATATAGATAGATAGATAGATAGATAGATAGATAGATAGATAGATAGATAGATAAGAACAGTGTGATTTGTCGAGTATAACCATTGCAGTGCCTCCATAAATAGATTGATACATACATACATACATACATACATACATACATATTTGCCGGTTATTCGCTTCCGAGCACACGTCTTCTAGGGCGCTGGCTAATATACTGTAATATGAATTTCGGGCACCTTCCAACAGTGCAGCACGCAGGCCGAAAACATCAAGTAACCTCAGTAACAAAATGATCATAGCGAAATTCATACATGCATAGATACATACATACATAAGAGCATATTTAGATAGATAGATAGATAGATAGATAGATAGATAGATAGATATGAACACACCGAGAGAAAGAGACAGATAGACAGGCAGTAATGAACTGACTGAGATAGATAGATAGATAGATAGATAGATAGATAGTATTAACAGAGGGATATAGATACTTACATACATAAATACGAACAGAGATAGATAGATAGATAGATAGATAGATAGATAGATATTAACTTATACTCTTCTACAAAGTATATACACTTTTTTAATATATTTGTACATATATTTATATATCTACATAATTTGCATCTATTAATATATCTATGCTTACAGGTGTGTCCACGTATAAGTAAAGAGATAATTACATATACGATATAGTTTTAAAAAAACAAACGAATAAACATATACCACAGGATAATTACTCGTCCAGAAAGATATAAACATTCCACTCTGTTGAGACCGGATTCAAAATGTCGGAACTTCTCAATTAGTTGATACAAATCTCATCGGACTAATTTTTTTTTTTTTTTAATGAAGCTTCCTTCAAGCCTTCTATTACAATTTTTAAACTATTTGCTTCGACTCTGATTAATGTTTCTACAAAATCTTCTTTTTTTTTTTCAATCAAAACTATTTTCCACGTTGCTGTACGAGGGTGGGATGAAAAAATTCATTGAATGACTATGAAGGAATTATGCTAGAGTCGTGAAATCTTGCAGGCAATAATTTCATCTCTTCTTATTAACAACTGTATTGTTTCTTTCGAGATACGAAGGTGGCTGAAGAGTTCATCGGCTGACTATGAAGGAATGAATGAGATCTTACATACATTAATTTCAACTCTTCTTATTAACAACTGCATTGTTTCGTTCCAGACAAACTGACATTTGACTGTTCAAAGAATAATTCAAAAGTAACTAGTAGCGACTTCTCTTGAAAATGGAGAAAATTTGTTTCTGTGGTGCCTTCGAGTACCTGCAGAAAAAGGGTTTAGCCTCTAAGGCCATTCATGCTGACATGGTTGCTACATTAGGAGATGATGATCCATATTTATCAACAATGATCAGTGGGTAAGGAGAATCTTGAAGATGATCCAAGATCGGAACGTCCTTCGATTGCCACCACCGAGGAAAACATTGATTGCATTCATCACACGTTGATGGATGACAGGCGATTGACTATAAATCTATAGGGAAAACTATTAGCATATAACGTGAGATAGTTGAAAATATTTTGCACAGTGAATTTGGCATGATAAAGGTTTCTGTTCGATTAGTGTCACGTCTTCTGAAACCTGACAAAAGCGCACCAGGCTGATCACATCACGAGAAAATCTGATATTGTTTGAGGCAGATCCAGCTGGTTTCCTTGAACATTTCCTCACTCAGGGTGAGTGTTAGCTTCCTCGCTTTGAGCTAGAGACAATCCATGCAGTGGAGACACCCTCCTTATTTGCCCCCAATGTCGTTAATATGGATAGAAGGTGATGGCTTTAGTTTTGGGGGATGCTAAAGGTATTGTGTTTATTGACTATCTTTAAAAGAGCCACACCATCAATGGCGAGTACTATGCCACCTTGCTGAAGGCATTTAAAAGTCTATCAAGACCAAACGCCCAGGAAAAAAAAACAAGAAAGAGTTTTATTTCATCAGGACAATGCTCCAGCACACCTCTTTAGTTTCAAAGGCTGATCACCCTCCCTATTCTCCTGATTTGGTCCCATCTGACTATCATCTGTTCCCCAACATGAAAAAAAAAACTGACTGGGAACCAGTATCAAAGTGATTATGACGTCATATCTGCTGTTGATGACTTTTTTGACCAACAGATAAAAGCTTCTTTACCAATGGCATCCAACCATTGCAGCACCGTTGGAAGAAATGTGTGGCCTTCAAGGGCAACTATGCTGAAAAATAAAACCACATTTTGTCACATTTCATGAGATTATATTGGTCAGGCTATGAACTTTTCAACCAACCGTCGTAGACACAATATTGCATATATGCATGTTGACTGCCACTGTGTTATTGGGCATTAGTTGTGTTTTAATTGAGTATGGCTCTTTAAACCGGACAATTATTAAGACGTCTGCCTCACAGTTGGCAGACGTCAGAATATTTTTGTTGTCATTAGGTTTTTTTTTATAACTCGATGTTTTTTTTTTCAGCATAATGCTATCAGGAAATGCTTGTATCTAATATTTTTATCGTGTAGAAATATGTTGAACTGGATCAGGCCAACTGTGTGTACATCAAAAGAAGAACCAGTCAACATCTATATATATATATATATATATATATATATATATATACTTTCACGTCGTATTCGATGTATAAGGGTCAGGCAGCTCAGTTCCTAGGAACCGATAGTCTAGACACATATGACTTGATTATAGTGGTGAAGGGTTTATTCAAAACCATCCAAACTTTTTGAAGGGCCGAATACAGAGACCTGATGCACTACGTGGCACAAGGGCCCCAAATGACCCTCCGCAGCTTTTGAATTCAGTATTATCCTTCACCTAGACCAGTTGCCATCCAAGGCTATAGAACCCAGTCTGTCCTTCTATTTACCCATAGCTGGAGGGAGAAGTAGAGGATTAATTCCTTTCCCAAGGGTATTAGCACGTAAGTGAATGCAATGGGTTCGACTGGAATTTATATATATATATATATATGATAGAAATTAGGAGGATTTGAGATAATTATAATTAAGTAATTCATCGAGTCTAGAAGAAACCTCAACAGAATGCAGAAAGTACTGGGCGGTCGAGAATTGAAACCCGGACAGTTACGTTACCAGGCAAACGCCATGCCAACTGTTCCAACGGGTAGCGAATCAGACTCAATATAGCGCTGCTCGATCACATATTCCGTGGTGGAACTCATAATGAGCCACGACTGCTATCCCCAAGCCACTCAGTCCAGAGTATTCGAAGCTGGTTCAAGCAAGGATATGCAAGTGATAAAAATTAGGAAGAATTAATTATAATTATCTCAAATCCTCCTAATTTCTATCACTTGTATCTCCTTGCTTGAAGCGGCTTCTAATTCTCTGGACTGAGCGGCTTGGGGATAGTAGTCGTGGCTCGTGGAGACACAGTTCTATGGGTAAAAGAGAAACTCGCATGAGTTCCACCACGGAATATATGATCGAGCGGCGCTATATCGAGTCTGATTCGCTATCTCTTCGTCACCGAAAACCGTTGGTACGGTGTTTGCCTCCTATCGTAACTGTTCGGGTTTCAGTTCTTGGTAGTGGATGCGCACTGCTGATGAGTCCCAAATATCGGGCGAAACGGCCGTCCAGTGCTTTCTGCATTCTGTTGAGGTTTCTTCTAGACTCGATGAATTACTTATATATATATATATATGAATAACGTATATATGGGCGGCAAGTATTCATCCAAACAAGTTTAGTCGAAAAAGACCACATGGTCTGTCAAGTACTTTCGGCTGTTACATTTATTATCGAGAACAAATGTGGTGTCTGTGTGGTAGTTTGTATACCTTTGTCTGTATACTTTTTTATCATTTCACCGTAAGAAAAGCAATCAAACCACCAGGATGCAAGGATGAGTTACTTGGTGTTAGAGAATATGAGAAAAACTACTATTAAGGAGAGAAGACAATAAAAGAACTGGAATTATGAACCCAAAATATAACGAGTGACATTGCGTTTAAATTTTTGAAGATCAAAGTTGACTGGAAAGCAAGAAGCCGGAAGAGAATCCCACAAGTGAGAAGTGTGAGAGAAGAAAAGTTTAGCATAGAGCTTACGGTTACATCTAGCCATTTCAACTGTAAAATGATGAGACCTTACCGCCAATCTAGTACTGCGCTTATATACATAATGTCTAGCTACCATAGAGAAAGTTCATCAAAACAACTACCATAAAAGTATTTATAGAAAAACGCATGAGGAATCTACGTGGTGGGGAAATAAGGGAAGTCGAGAATACAGGTTTGGTATTTTTTGAGAAGTTAGAAGTTTGAAATCGTCTGACGTGACGTCATTTGTAACTGTTATTGGGAACGAGGCCGAACAAAAAATGCCATGTCTTCTATGGTGAATGATATTTTATTTAATGTGGGCTGATTATTTTGTATAGTTTCGAGGGTTTTCAGTTTTTCCTTACATTGGGCACTACAAGGAATTTTAGTGCCATGCACTAATATCTTAAACTTATGTTATTATCCACTATTTCAAACGTCCATCTATAATATGCAACCGTTAAATATGATATTTATTTAACGGTTGCATATTATTTACCAAATAATTCTATATATTTACATTATTTACTAGTTTCTTAACGTGGCTTCTTCTTTATCTACTACAAAAAAATAATTTACGTAGAAAATCCACAAAGATTATAACTAGCTGAGCATTTGGTTAAATTACATCTTTATCTCCCCGCTTTTATTTTTTATGAAGGTTGACTGTCTGGCATATGTATATTTATTGTAGCCATCTGTATCAGTCTTTAAGTTAATGTCTGGTTACTGTTCGATGTCGAATCTTGGCTATGATACATTTCTAAGATAATAATTTATATTTTTTTTTCTTTTTCACGTAGTTTGAATTTAACGTCGGCCATATTCGATTGGTTGGTCAGTGTAAAGCCCTCAAGCCTTATATTTCTTTTCTTTTTCTTTCAAAACAATGTTGATGCATTTTGTTTTTGAAACCAAATTAATCGTTCACACACCAATAATTTACAATCGCCTGAGGAGGCGCATCGTTATATGTTTAAAATGACAGCAATTGTGTAGCGATTCTTTATTTTTTATTGTAATATCTAATATATATATATATATATATATATATATATATATATATATATATATATATATATATATATATACCGGATGTAACAGTAAAATTGTCCAAATCGTGTAACAACAAAATTGTTCATTTGTTAGATTAAACTTTGAACCGTTTCATCTTGAAAATGATTAAAGATATCTTACTGGAATTCTATACTGGACTCTACTTTCAGCAATAAAAATGTTTAACAGAAGAATCATGATGAAACCGATCATAAACGAAAATGACATGTTCATCATTAATTAATCGTAGCTAAGGATCGGAAGCTCATGAAGATTTCAAATAAAGTTCAAATATATATACATGATTCCAGGATCATTTTCCAACTCATCAAGATTAACTTCGCTCTCTCTAACATTCTAACTTTCTGTCTTGGTGTAACAAGTTGCCTCACAGGTTTCACGTACGATTTCATTTTCAAGTCTTTTTTCACTGTTCTTTGGACTGTCATAGCTGAAATTCATCTCTCACGTGCCAAACGTCTTATGAATTGAGTTGGATCTTTTCTAATTGATCTCTTTAGCACTAAGTTCAAATGATGATCCCTCTTCCTGTTGTGATCTCCTGATCCAGTTTTCCTAACTACTGCTCCCTCTTTTTTAAACTTATTCACCATTCTCTTGATGGTTCTTGAATGGACTTTGAAGATGAATGTTTGTACTATTACTATTTCCTCTCACCATTGCTCAATTGGGAAGACATAGTGAGGCTGACACCAAAGGACTTTAACCTGTTCTCTTTCTATTTAAATAACTCAAAGGTTTTTCAGTTATTCTTACGATAAAGGGTACCAAGATGGCTAAACGACTTTTCTGAAAACCTGGAAAAAAGAAACTCACTTAGTTGAGAGTTTTTTTTTTAGATATTAAACATTTTGTGGGATGAAATATTGTGTGTGTGTGTGTATGTGTGTGTGTGTGTGTATGTGTGTGTGTGTGTCCAAAGATTCTTTAGACACTTTCAAAAAGTCATTACGAAAAACTTAGAAGAGGAGCAACGACATTTTTGCTGCAAATTAAGATGTTATTATTAAAGTTCTTTTATTGATATTAATATTCTTATTAATATTATGGTGGTTTTTGTCAGAGCTCAATGAATATTTTTTTATGTCTCAGATATAAACAGAAACAGAATATCACTTAGGTTCCATTCTTCTGAAAAATGGGGCCCGGATAGAAATTCTTAACTCTTTGGATATAAACTTCACTATTATGTCACTGTTTTTAAACATTGTAATTTTAATTAATTTTCATATTTGTCTATTGACTTTGTGGACATCCTTTATATATATATATATATATATATATATATATATATATATATATATATATATATATATATATATATATATATATAGTCTTTTTTATTTATATTCGTGAACCATAAATATTAATGAAAGAAAATTAATTAATCCGGGTTCGAATCTCACCACGGTTGATTTGTCAGTAAGGTGACAATCCCAGCGTGCGGCACCTTTGGAAAAAACATACCACGGACTGACCCAATCTCTCTGAGTGAAATTGGGTTGACGGAACACATGATGACCGTCGATAGCTGTGCTTGCACGAAGTCAGAAGTCATAGTGACCGAGGGTTTGAACGTGCTGGTGCTTTTGATCATGCTAAACACGCTCTCTCCCACAGACTGTAACTAATATATGCTTATCATAGTTGCAGTATAAACCACAGGTGGGCTCTGTGGGTGTTAAATAAACACAAAAGTGCCTGAGCAAGTGTCTGCAATAGGGATTGGCTAGCCGCCCTAGTTGACATGTATCCTCGAATACGAGCGACCAGCTATTATATATATATATATATATATATATATATATATATATATATATATATAGCAGTAGAGCCCGGCGTTGCCCGGGGATGTAACAGTAAGAAAGATGTGCTTTGTAAATCGACAGGAACTAAGTTTCTACAAAGCGTTGAAACGCAATGCACACAAAGTTTAAGCAGACATCATGCAGGCCCAAGTATTCGAAGGTATCGAAGGAAGTAACGGAAAGCCGTTGTAGCATCAGTCATTTGCCATTACTAAGACATCTGTGAGTAAAAGCTGGCAGCAGTTACTGCTTTAACCAATTGGACCATTAAGCATTACTGGAAGCAATTGTGGTAAGTAGTCAAGAAACCACGATTCAGTTGCAACATACATAGGGATTGAAGGGAAAACGTGCCGTGAGGAAGCCATAGACATAAAGTATGTGCCGTGCGCAATCACAAACAAATCGCTTGTCTAACTAAAAGATGCGTCTTGTGCCCAAAAGACGACGCTGTCACGACCACAAAGCAGAACCATAAAACCGAGAGAAGAGCGAACAGTGACGGGGTGTCATGGTAAGAAAATTTCTGTGATATAACTTCCTTTATTCTGATCTGTCTCTATCTCCATTGCGGCTGAGAGCCCTTAAAACCGCAACGGGGGTAGCCGTAAGGCCCAGCATCGTAATTACAATGAAAAAGTGCCTTCTCTTCAGTCGCAGTCAACATCACGGCTGAGAGCTTATGAAAACCGACCGGGGTCGCCGTACTTGGCGCGTGTTTTTAGTTTTTTTTACACGACTAGAAACAAAAAAATAGAGCCGTATGACCGATATGTTTCACCCATGGCAGCCGTAAAGTGGATATGGAAGCAGAAGTCTGAATTTCGTAGACGCACTCGACTTTTGTGACAATTAAACGAACTCCGAAGCTTCTCAAGTGTGAATGTGCTTGTATGCACTGGTACGAACTGCAGGTGCTCCGATCAACTGTTAATGAAACCGGAACTTTAGTGGAGCAATCATGTCTAATGCCGGTGTTCATGTGTCTAGCAGCTTGTGTTGCAACTGAATACGGTGAGGTTATCATAGTGTACAAACAAACGCGATGATGGCGGGTGAAGATATGAAAGTCAGAAGGCAGAAAAAGAGCTGGATAAACTTTACAAAGATGTCTTAGTAATGGCAAGTGGAGACTACGACGACCTAACGTTAAAATCAATATGACAAACAAAAAAATTTCCATGCAATCGGACTGCATATGTGTGCATGGCGCTTAAACGCTACCGGGCGGGTTGTCTACAGGACCTCCGTGTAGGTTATGTTTTTAGCACAGTTGTTGGGAGAGTAAATGAAAACCCTGTCCTTAGATCCAACTCGTGAGCACCCAACGTAAAGTTGGCCGTGAGAGAAGCACTGCCCACGTAAATGCAGACCTGCGATGCTAAGCGTATGTCCTTGTGATTTGTTAATGGACATTACAAAGCAAAGCTTCACGGGAAATTGTGAGCGACGAAAGTTGATTGGTATGCTTGCGTCTGACGGCAGAAGATGCATTCTGGGAATCAGAACGACTTCCCCCTTGCCGCAGTCAGTTGCAATGGTCGCCTCAATCAGGTTAGGAGAAAGGGATTTAATAATGAGGCGAGTCCCGTTGCATTGTTTAGGTGGGAGCAAATTCCTGATTAGCATAATCGGAGCACCAACTTTGAGCCGAAGAATATGAGGTGGAAGACCGGACGGCTGAAGGGAGTTCAAAACTTCTATGGGATACTCAGCTAATTCAGATGAATCGGAAGTTCTGTCGATGGACTTATAAACATGACATTGCTCGGGAATGCAATCCAACAGTTTAAGGTTGAATCAACTGTACAGTTCTTCGGTGCCAATATGGCCCTCCCAGCAAGCCAATCGGCATCGGCAAAATTAGTGGATAGGTTGTAGAAGACTGCATTCATCAATTCATCCGGTGATTCAGCAGTGGTGGCAAGCTGATCCATCTGCACCAAACCCTGTGTGTCAGATGGCATTTTCTCCTCCCCAAGAGCAAAAAGGTCCCGTGCGAAGTCAGCGGATCTGGAGTCCCCATTCAAGTAGGCACGCATGTTCGTGCTCATTTTAAAAGTCTCCACGTGGCGCCAAAGGGCAGACGACTTCAGGCAGGCGCGGACAGCGTCGGCGCGTGTAACTTTAGGAATAACAGGTAAAGTCTGCCTAAAGTCGCCTGCGAGAAAAAGGGTTACCCCACCCATGGGGTCGGAGGAGTCGCGGATGTCTTGGAGACTTCGGTCAAGTGCCTCAAGGGCGCCCTTGTGTGCCATCGTGCACTCATCTCAAACTATAAGTTTGCATCTCCGCAGAATTTCAGCCTGTGGCGAATTCTTTGTTATGTTGCAGAGAGGAGTTTGTGACCGGCATAGATCAAGTGGCAACCTAAAAGCCGAATGAGCGGTTCTACCTCCTGGTAGAAACGTTGCAGCAATCCCGGAAGATGCGACAGCAATAGCGATCTCCCCACGACGCCGTACCTCTGCTTGGACTAATTTAGTAAAAAAAGTTTTGCCAGTTCCTCCGGGCGCATCTAAAACGTATATACCTCCACTGGAGCCGTTTGCCCTGTCTGTTATGGTAGTGAAAGCAACCCTCTGATCAGGTAGAATTTTGGGCTCGTTTTCGGTAATGTATGCGTTCAGCCTCTCGATGGAGTAGGATGTTTCCCGCAATAACTCAGTTGGTACAGTGTCAAAACCGTCTCTGAGCGGTGGCGGTAAACCGTAAGTTGGTAAAGAGGCACCTCCCAGTTCGAAAACATCTTCCAGGGCCACCAGCGCTCTGTTGAATATGATGTCAGTGAAACCGCATTCAACTCCTGGGCTGTTATGCTGAACGGAGAACAGCACATCCTCTGACATGGATTCTCTGTACTTTAGCCAGAGCGACAGAGGATCGCTTAGTTCGCATCGCAAAAGCAAAATGGCGAACAGCGTTCGAAGCCGTGATGGCGTTCTGAGAAGTTCACCCTCCGCGATGGCTGCATCCCATTGGGAGTCGTCTTCAAGCAATCCCAAACAGAAGCATGCCTCTCTATAAGACTGGCACTCTATGCCGTTGACAGTGAGAATATCTGTGAAACTCGTTGGCCTAGCAATTTCATAAAGTAGAAGGCGGAGGTAAAAGCACTCCTGCTGGCTGAGGGGGGGGGGCACAGTATAAACGCGTCCAAGGCAAGAGTTACACCTTACATCGGGATAACTCTCGACATGGTCGCCAGCCTTTCACCGAACCCACCGATTGTTTGACCACACGTAGTAGGACGGGACTTGGGGGTATATCAATGTTTTTGGCAAAAGGCCTCGCTGCTGCTGAGGTAGCGTCTAGCCACGTAATCGGCCACCTCGTCAACGCAATTGTCGCGCCGGATACCGAAAACAGCAGCATCGCTGCCTTTATCAACGTACTTGCAGATGTACTTTATTGACTTAACCGAGTGGCAGTATTCAACGTTTATGTGGGCTCCAAAAGTCTTGGACAGCAGCGGGCAATAAGGTACCACGCAACGATTGTCCAGAGTGGTCCCCTTAACTGTCACAGTTCTGCCGCCCTCAGCGGGGCTTCTACGTCTGTACAGTGGGTAACCATCTGTCGCAGTTTGCGTCTCTGAGATAAACTTACGGGGGTAACCATTTGAGAAAGTGGGGCCGCTTGGGCAACATGACCTTTTTTCGTAATTCGCGTGTATCATATTGTTTTTAATGATTTCGTGGAGCAAAGGATCCAGCGCAGGATCCGGAATTCAGCAGAAATAAAATCGTCCATTTTGTTTGCGTCAACCTTATCGTTGAGCCACAGTAGAATGTGGACATGGGAGAAACCGCGTTTCTGCCATTCCACTGTATACATATGACAACGCGTCCGTAGACTTGCCCTTTAAGGATTAAATCCATAAGTTTACACAGCTGTAACCGGAAAACGCGGGCAATTAGGTCAGGGCGGTGTGAGTACTGCTGACCTGGAAAAAGTTCGCGTGTGATTTCAACCCATTTCGGATTGCACGTGAACGTGACGAACAAATCAGGCCTCCCGTAATGACGGACATAGGTCATTGCGTCTTGTGTCCTTTCATGCATGTATCGAGGGTCATCAGTGTAAGAGGAAGGCAAAATGCACGGTTTGCCGAGATTGCGTGGGTCACCATCAGAACGCAGACCATCACGAAGGTGAATGTAGGAGTCGGTTCTAAGTTTGGATTGGTTTAACTTGATGAATCCTAACCTCTCCGACTTTATTTTTGCAGCCATGTCAACAGCGAATAGAAGAAATATTTGACGGCACCTGTGCAAGTGGTTAAATTCACCCTCCCTAACCATAAACATGTAGGCGTAGTAAGGCCTACAGGAGACCGTCTTTGAGGTCGACATGGAATCGCTGCTTTCCTGGTATATTGGGATTTTGAAGTAGTACCCATCGCTTCCGTATGGAAAAAGAAGTGGGTACTGGAGACAGTCGTATGAACCGTGGATGACTGCGGCGACTTCATTACATGCAGGAGCATTGAAGCGACGCTCATGCTCACCGTGAGGCCGTCTGTCTGCATCGATGACAACGCTGAAAGAGGGAGAAGAGTTGTTTTGCAACGCAAACTTTAAGTTTCGGATGTAACTATTAGTTTCGTGAAGCATGTCTTGTAGACGGAACAGAATGTCTCTACGGGGACCGACGGAAATATCGCTAGGCAGAATGTCGAGACGCGCATCAACCTGCTCGTTGTAGTCAGCAAAAAAGTTAATTTGTAGACACTGAGGTGGCTCTCCCTGATCAGCCAAAAGTGATCCCATTAAGTGGTAAACTTGGCCTTGCACTTTGAAAGTAGGCATCCATCCCCCTTCACTAATAGACTTCGCACCAAAAGATGTCATCTGGAAGCAACAGTTGTACTTCCGTATTGCTTCAAGAAAATGCGTTGACTCCGAAATGTATCCAGAAGGAGGTCCCTAAGCGGCTGGGAAGGTTCGTCTAAAGAAGGGAGTTTGATTTTGCCCTCAGAGCAACAAAGCCCAGGTTGCTCACCGGCCCACTTTTTTGCGTTTAAAAAGTGCAAACTTTATCCATGGCCCCTATTTGTACGTCTCTCCTAGCGGAATAGTTGACAGTGCAGTCATAATTGTATGCAGCATTTGACCAAAATGACGCAGACGGCGAAGTTACGCCATTAAAAGAAGCTCGAAGTTGGCTAAGGTTATCGAGCCGTTGACGGCGTACTTCAGAGTTTTCTGAAACTCTGGCAGACGCAGTAGAGCGGGCATTTCTAACGCGACGAACAGTGGTTTGTGCAGGGATTTCTAAGGCTCTGGCAGACGCGGTAGATAGGGCATTTCTAAAGCGACGATGAATGAAAAAAGAATGCTAACAACAAATACTTTTTCACATCCAACCCAGTTCTGCGGAATCAGAATCAACATTGAGTTTAAGCAAGCGAATGAGCCAAGTGGAGTAAAGTGCCATGCAGATTTAAATTTTTCCCACTTGTGACGAATGCAGCTATCGATTTTTTTTGCATGTAAGCATGCTAGTTAACATTCGTGTCAGTCAGCTGTTGGCTCTCACGCTGGCCAATAGAATCTTCCTGCCTATTCGTTGCAGCCAGCTATAGGCTCTCACTCTGGCCAGTAGAAAATGACCGCAAACTACATGAAAACTGCCGTAGATGCATGAAAAAATCTATTATTTCCACTATCGATGGGAGTTGGGAAATGCAAAATCGGTCTTGGCCTTCTCGCTAACTTAGAGCATGTGCATGTAAATTTTCGTGCAAATCCGTCGAAAATTGCGGTCGTGCATTCGTTACAAACACACATCCTGCCTTATATATATATATATATATATGTGTGTGTGTGTGTGTGTGTGGTACTGGCACGTTAAAATTATATAATACAACGTATGTCAAGAAAGAACAGAATTTCGATAAAATGCCCAATAGATATGTAGAGTAATAAATATTGTAGAAAAAATGTTGAATAATCATAATAATTATTGGAGATCGCAGATAAATTCAGTGTCGCAATTCCTTGAGGAATGGCAAAAGTGTGTCAATACTCGATAACTATTGTGTACATTCATAATTTTATACAATCACACACACACACACATACACACACACACACACACATATATATATATGTATATATATATATATAAAGAAAGAAAGGAGGGAGAGGAGAGACTGAATAGTTCAAACAAGTTACTGAGGAGTATAAGCCACAGCGCACAACACGCTCGACTTACTGTTTTGGTTGGAGTTGCTAGCCACCTATCCAACAGGCTTTGAATTCTCGCCAACCAAGGTAAATGAATCCTGTCTAACGCATTATTTAATCCATAGCTAACAAAAGAAGGGGCCCATTCATATCTTTCTCCAAGAGTAATTGCGCGAAAGATAAATTGTCGTCTAAATGACGCAAAAATGAAAATAACACCGACATCTCATTTTAACAGATATATTTTTCAAGATTACACAAAAATATCTTGAAATACAAAAGTATAAATTTATTCAATAAAATCGCCATTGGCTTCAACCACGGCCTCCAGACGACTTCGGAATCTCCAGAATCTCTTCTAGACGGTCTCCTTGTTTAAAATGGTGAATACTGCCATAATCCTTGCCTTCAGTTCATCTTTGGTGTTACAAAGAGTTTTGATAGGGGCTTGCAATCAGGGGAGTTATGTAGGGAAATGTAAGAAATTATCTGATGGCCATTATTGTATTCTCCTACTTGTGCGACATGGTGCTAGATACAGGTTCTTCCAGCAGCCACTCTCTTGATCCAGGGCAAGACTACCTCCCAAAGTACCCCGTGTTGAGTTTGAGGCCCAGTGGGGAGATAAATGGAGGCAACACATCGCCATCACTAGTGATCACTTCAACACCATCTTAATCACAATTAGACTCATCCAATTCTTTCCGAATTCTCTGCACTGTTCTCAGATTGACAGGTTCTTCCGGCGCGAATGCAAAGTAGTACCATGTCATTTCTTTCTTGACGGCATCATTTTTCATAGGGCAACTCACTACCTCAGTCGACAAAATCAAAAACAAATAATGCGCATGCGCGGAAGGAAAAGTATAAAATGTCAGCATCTTGTATAATCTTTTGTTTCTTTCAGGAATAATCAACTATCAAATTAAATTCATAACCTCTTTGCAGGCAGAATCTTTCAATTTTTTTACGGGAGAAAACACAATATACATTTTTTTTTAAAATGTTTTTATCTTTTTTCACCAATCGGATTTTTTACTAATATTCATCGAATACAAGGCCCAAGTCCGACAAGCGCTAGGGACGATAGACTTAATTTACATTATACATACGAATTTAACAAATGGCATCTCATCTATATTTGATGACCGATTATCACTTAGCAACAGGAAATCAAATATTTATTTTGATAATTTTTTTTTACAATGATCTTCCTCCGTAAACTTGAAATATGTGAGGAAGATAACATTTAACAATAAACTTGAACAGGTTAAGGGTGTAGTGATTGGAGAACAATACTCTTGGGGATCGGTTCTGCAAAGCAGCAGTTCGTGGGAAGATATTTTCCGAGTGGAATATGAAGGGAATGAAGCTGGTTCGCTACAGTTTATGTCGAGTGTTATCTGTGAAACTTTCAGAACTTATTCACAAATGAATGAAATTATTTAAAAAATATTCTTGTTTTTAGAAAATCTTGGTACAAATATTTTATTTTACATCTGTTTCACCTCATTTGTTTAATTTCATGAAATTTCGAGAAAATACATTTTGTAGAGCTTAAATTTTTTATTAGTTAAAAACAGAACAATCTTGAGAATTTAAATTGTCAATTTCTTTTTGTAAAATAAAATCCCCAGTTACCGAAATTTGCTCTGAATCGTAAAATAAAAAAATGAAATAAAACTAAAACATTATTTAATTAGAAAAGCTTTTCATTGTTTTTATGAATTACGAAAAACAAACATTTTCGATGAATTTTAAAAGAATTGTTTTCATTTTTTTAATTTACTTATAATAAATTTAAATCTTTAATGTCATACTCTGTCGCGGTTATTAAGTGAAAACTATATTTACTAATCATAAATCGGAAAGTTTATTATAATTTAGTGATCCCCAATATTTTAAAAAGAAGTTTGAGTTTTTTTATGTGTGTATAAACGTTCCGATTTTCGGAGATACGGACGTCCATACACGATATTGTCAGAAAATAAGAGCGATAAATATAGTAAATTGAAGTCGAAGTACTACAATTCGATAAATAAGTAAATATTTTCCTAAATTTTTAACATTACTAGGTAGGTAAAAATTATATATCCACCGTATAAAAACATTAGATAATCGTCTATCGTTCAACCTAAAATAAACACCTACCGCTGCGATATTTTAAACTTAAAGTAAATAAAAATTGTTTCAAATCAGATTAATTAAACTTTACATCAGTCAATATTCCTCAAATAAAGTTTCAAATAAGTATATTTTTGTTTTTGGAAGATTTTTTTTAATAAAGAGAATTACGTTGTGGTGAAAGATGGCTATCAATCTCAAAATGAAAATTTCTTCCAGTCAATTTAAATTAGCTTTCAAATACAGGAAAGTATTTTACTTATTGGAATTATTAAATTTAATGAATTAGACTAGCAAAAATGCTATTGGTTTTCAAAAATTTTAAATTTAAAACTTTTAGACTCACCTGATGAATATTTATGACTGTTCTTAAATTTAAACATTTTTGAAAAACAAATTTGCTTTTTGCTCTTTTATATAAATAATTTGTTACAAAATAAAATCCTTGCATTTGCCTTGATAATGTCCCTCAGAGGAAGAAACACGTCGGTTTAGGTTTCCATTTGTCTTTATTAATAGTGTCTTTTTACAGATATACTCTATCTGAAATTTAACTCATTAAATTTAATCTATTACCTTGAAATTAAAACTAAACTAAAAGCTTCCAATTTTTAAAATTCATTTCAATCCTTAGGTATCACGAATCTGTTGAGGCACCTAGTTTAGATAGATGTGAAAAAGATGTCGTCTGCTTAAACTGACGCCTGGAATTCTATAGGTGAAAATGATTCGGAGGTTGCCATTAAATACAACAGATGAAAACGAGTCTCAAATTACTAATTACACAATTTCATCTACGAAAATCGGACAGTTTAAAACTATTATGCCTTCAACTGATATCCTGCTGGTGTCAGTTTATACTGACATCTTTTTTTCCCATATATTGGCGCCATTTTCCTTAAAGCTCGTTTCTTATATCAAATGAAAATTTAAATTTCTTAAATATATTTTTTTTGTATTCGGACAAATATCCTCATCTTTGTTGTTGTTATCACAGTGTTTCAGTCGTTGTTCACTCCGATCTTCGTCAGGGAAATATTGAACTGAAACGTTAACCGGTTCGACAGACAATCTGGAGAAGGACGAAGGGCAGAACGATCGAAACGATAAAAACAAGGACAATGGGCTGAAATTAAATAATGATGACTCCTCATCCCAGAAATTCGGAAACAAACTTTCAAATATATTTCATTGGAATTTTCACTTTCCGAAATTATAGCTTATGATTTAAGTTTAAAGATGTTTTGAATAAAAGAAAAGTTGCTAATTTAAACTGGCGCCAAGACAATAGCTTAAATGTCCTAAAAGTGATAATAAAATGCAGACGTAGCGTCTCTGATATGTCTTTTCCGTCTTTCCACGCGATCAAAACGGAACAGCCCATTATTTATGCGGTATTTTCAGGGCGTAACGGTCGTGCTAACAAAGGGAAAACGACAAACGTAATAATAATAATAATAACAACAGCCAGACATCATGATCAAAGACCCCAAGAACAAAATGTACCTTCTTATTGACATGGCAGTCCCTGCAGATTG